AGATTCCCTCAATCACATAATCACAACAACTCCTGTAATGGTGCCGACTGCTACATATGAAGTAACTAGCGATGCTAATCTTACTTACTAAATCCATTCCTACAGCTTAAAATGCTTTTAATAAGATGTGAGGACAAGGAATGCACTGATCCACTTTTTGCACTTCTATACCAATGCAGATATCTGAGGATTAGTATCGGACAATACAACACAAAACAGTGCTGTGTTGACTTAAAATGTTTCCTTTAAAAAAAAAAAAAAAAAACAGACATAAATGTTCTTAATATTTGATAACTCTGCACTGCACAACAAATTTAAATACACCAATAGCTTTACAAGCTTGGCCAAACGTAATCACAATTCAACTGTAATTTGTTAAGTCGGTGCAATTTGGAGTACAACAGCCAATTAAAAGTAAATAAAAAAAAACTAAAAATGATTAAAAAAAAAAAAAAAAAAAAACAGGTTGACTTTCTTGGTCAGAAATATTAAAATTATTTTTTTGGTAGAAAGAGACAAAAGCAAAAAATTATAAATCATGAAAATGGAAATTACCGAGTTTGTTTTAATTTATCATGTGATTAATTGATTTACTGCGACATGCTCAGGACTGGATCTATCACGATCTGATAAGGGCTTCGTATGAGTCGATAATTATCGATTGGTTTTGGGTTTAAAGTATCTGAAATGCAGCCAAACTGGTGACCTTTACCGTTTCATCTGCAGTTTCCTCTCGAGTCGTTCTCATTTTCTCCTTTCCCTCCACTCTTTATAATATCTAATCAGCTATAAGGCACGGTGGCGAAACCTGAAACTTATGCTGAAAAGGCTGATTGGCTATTGGCCATCCTTTGCACCTAATATTGCACAAATGACACTGGAATGACAACTGTGATGCTGTTAACATAAACTGAAATTCATACACTGGAATATCATCAATCTGGCTCCTGTCTATTTGTAGTAGTGGTCATTTAAAAAAGAAAAAACTGCCAGATGAGGCCAACAATGTCATTAAGAGAAGGTGTTGATGTCATCAGATGCTGTTCAATTAATAGAAAGCAGCATGTCCCTCCAGGGGTCTTTAAAGTGGACATCTGTGGCTCAAGCATTGGAGTGGTAATGCGTCACCTCAGTGGTCTGACCTACAGCCTGTAAGGTTCATGATGATAAACTACCTCAGGTATTCTGGCTCTAGTCTAATCTTCATGCCCAGGAGCAAACATGGAGAAAGCAGCATGCAGTTTCTATGCTCCATACATCTGGAACAAACTTCCACAAAACTGCAAAACCGCTCAAACACTGAGTTACATTAAAACGAGGCTAAACCCCCGCTGGTTTAGAGTTCATTTTGATTAGTAGTTAGTGGAGCATCGATGAACATGTTTCATGTAGGCCTGTCGCGATAAACGATAAATCAATTAATCACACAAATTAAACCTATCGACCTCATTTTAATCGGATTTATCGTCTCTTCATGCCGTTTTTTTCTTTCTGTTGATGACACTGAATGAAAAAGGCTCAACTCTGGTGCTCTCCACTGACCCTCCCTTCCTATTTCCTTAGTGTAATGCCCAGCGCACACTAAAAGAGTTGTCGGCCCATTTTCAAAACCTGAGAGACACATTAGCCGACAGAAATCCTAGGTATAACGGTTCGATCGGGTTCGTCATGCCGTGTGGTGTCCAGCCACATGGGCACAAAATAATGGCTACAAGTCCGGTTAACTAATTTTAAAACCAGGCATTAATCCATGCTTTACTAGAATCTACCTGTGATGCATGTGGCTAGAGTCAGCGTAAAGTCCAGGCTGAATGAAAATCATTATAACCTATTTATGTCACATTAACAAAGAACAGCTGAAAAGTTACCGGGTTTATCAACTGCGGTAGCAATTTGGCTCCAACTCCTCTCCTTGTCATTTCTATATTCTTTGCACGAAACGTTGAATAAATATTAATGTTGTTTCCACATATCATCTACAATGTCCGCTGGACTTCGGGTTGCGCCGTGTCAGCTGTTTGGGATTCCCCTCCGTAATTTCCCCTCAGAAAGCAGGAGGAGAATCCGCTTTCTGATTGGCTACCTGTCATATTCAACAGGCTGCGTTAAGCTCCCAGTCGGGGAAAACCCCTGACTTAGATGAGCGGTCACGACGATCTAAATCACACTGCAGGATGATCGGTTACGAAATCACCAGCGACAATCTTAGATCGACCAACGTTCAAAGATTATCGTAAGGCGAAAATGGGGGCAAAAAATTGTGTAGTATGATTTACTGTATTAGGTAGTTGGATGTGCCCGTCTTCTCTATTTAAATCTAGTGATTACTGAAGGCCAATATAGTATACAGACTTCATAATCTGCACTCTTTTGGTTGAATGCAGTATTTATTTCCACTTTGGCTTTATGTTGTTTAGTTTTTATTCAAGTACGTTTTTTGTTAATGGAGACTGAGAACACATTTTATTTTTGTTTTTGGTTGTTTTGTTTATTTAGTTTATCAGTTCCAGTGTTATGTGTTCTTTTGAAAATAAAATTTATGTATCTATGGCAGGAAATCGCATGCATTATTACGTCATTTCCATTAAATAAGTGTCAAAAGGTCTTGAAACACTATTATCGTTCATCGCAATAATTTTTTAGACAATTAATCGCTCAGCAAAATTTGTTATTGTGACAGGCCTAGTTTCATGAGTATCTGCTTGATGATTCTGATGATGGCATTTGACAAAATGTTTGTTAGGGATGGTTATTTATCGTTTATCATGATAAATTTCTTGTCATGATAAAAATTCTGATTTATTGTTGTTGTGATAAATTCCAATAAAGATATTTTTGAAAACCCCAAAACTGTTAGTACTGTCTGGATTCTTAAATTAACTTTTTTTCACTGTTTGTTCAATGAATATCAAATTTGAAAATATGACTAAGTACAGTTACTGTGTGCAGCTTAATGAAACAAATCACTACTTTCTGTGCCTGAAGTCCTAAAGAACCACATTAATGGGAATGTTTCTCAACAGCAGTATTTGTTTGTGGGGCAATGATACTGTACAATTACCTAAAAGAGAACAAATAAATGGTTCTCATTGTGACTTTTATCATTATCGCAATCGTACCACAAAATATTGTGATCAAATTTAGCCACCTCTAGTGGTTAAATTGTTTCACAATTGGTGACTGTATGATGTGTTTATGATGTACAACATTTTGAACTTCCTTGTTGCTGAAAAGTGCTATACAAATACACTTGACGTATCATACCAGGTGTGTGTATAAGAAAAATACATCATGTAAACCACAGCTAAATCAACTACAATATCCCGTATTTTCAATTAAAAACCATTAAAACACAGAACCATCCAGGGGTCAGAGCAGCACGACACAGAAAATAGCAATGAGATAAACACACATCCGGATTCGCATGCTAACATACACACACACACACGCAAACACACACACAGTCATCAGACGGCGCTAGCCAGCAGGACACACCCTCCTCCACTCCCTCCTCGGGGGACCTGCCCGGCCGTCTCCACCCTCTCCAAAAGTCAGCACCGAAAACTCCCACGAGAGTTGTGTGTGTCTGTGTGTGTGTAAGTGAGAGCAAAGGAAGGGTTGGGGGGGTGGCTGGTGACAGCAACCACACCCCCACCCACACACCTCTAAAGCCGGTCATTAGTGTCCCAAAGTGTCCACAGGCAGACCAAAAGAGAAACGGCGCGGCCCCCTCCTCCCCGTTCCTCCTTCTTTCCATCCACCAACCCCAACCCGCGGCCCCTAGCAACACCATGCAATTAGTGGCTCCCGCTCGCCGTTATTGGCTCCCTTTCTTTCCATACATTTATATTTACATGCGTCTTTGACTCTGTCATTGTCACCCAGTGTGTCTGAGTGAGCGGTGGTGTATTACAGACAAGGGGGAAAAAATAAAATAAAATCCTGGACACACCCAACATACCAAGTCGCCAAGCTTTATCTCTGCCTCTTTGTGACCCACCCTTCTTTTCTAATTATCTCACATTATTCCCTCCATCTATCCATCATTCTCTCGCTCGTTTGTGCTGTGACGGGCCCCCGGCGAAAGTAAAGCTGTAATTATGTTAACATGCCCATGTGACTACTTCCTGTCTGGAAGAGCCTCATATCCTGTTCCCGAGGGGCATCTTTAGTCGGCAGGAAAAAAAATTCTTTTGGCGTCCACGTCAGAGAGGAAAACAGTTTCCCAAGCTGTGCCGTCTCAACAGTGAGCTTTGAGGCATTTTGTTTGTCAAGTGAGAAGTAGCTCCACCTTTAGACGCGACGAGATGAACAGCTAAGCAAAAGAGACGAGGGAGGAACCGGGTGACCCTTCCTCACGGAGAGAGGAAGGAGAGAGTTCTTCAGCTCATAGTAGCTGCTTTCCCATGACAAATATATGCAAAACTTTTTCGATATTTTGCCAATGTCGAAAAAAATATCGAAGAGTTCACTTCAACTGGACAGAGATGGAGGTTTTTAGGCGAACTATGGTTCTAAACTCTACTTGCTGGTTGACAGCTGGTTTTTTGAAGGGTATCACTTTTTAAATCTTTTCTGAAAATAAACGAAAATAAATCAAATTCCAATTAAATTCCCTGAAGTTTGTTTTCGCGACATGACAAAATCTGAAGAACTTCGCCGGTTGTGAATTCTTTTGCATGTGTTCAAAGTATTCACTCTAATTCACTACTCAGGTATGTTGGACCATTTGTTCTTCTATAACACATTATTTTACCAATCGAGCTTTTCTCCTTTAACTTCTGTCGCCAACTGATTGCAATCATTTTCCAGAACTCTGACATCCTGCCTCTCCAGAGGCTGATGTGCCTCCCCCCAGCTGGAATATTTCCCCCAGCTGCAGCACTAGTGTAAATACACCAAGCATCCATCATCAGGAGTTATTGCTCCGTTAGCTTCATGCTTACAAACGGCTGCATATGTTCCAACAGGAACCTTCACATGATATCCCGCCACCTCACCTGTGGACGTAGTGGAGCTGGTGAACGGAGTCGATGGCCAGCACCATCTCAGCAAGGTAGAACTTGGCCATTTCTTCAGGCAGTCGGTCCTCAAACTTGCTCAGCAGAGTCAGCAAGTCGCCACCCACGTAGTAGTCCATGACCAGGTACTGGAGAGCAAATAAACACAATGATGCAGGAAAAACACACACACACACACACACAAAAAAAAGAGAACAGTAAATACACATCTTTATATAAACGGATATTAAACTCGCACCTAAATAGTTTCATGTGTTTGGGTTCGCCTAAAAATAAATGGAAGGATGGACCGCGGTGAATATCTTTAAAGCCTTAGGGAGTTGTCGAGCATTTGTTGTGAGAATGTGGGAAATGGAATGACAAGCAGTTCTGGCATTTCAGCTCAGGGTCATGCAGGGAGGACTAACAGTCCGGCTAAGGGGAGAAGGAATGCCTGCAGCTACCAATTAAAGCGAGACAAAGTTCGTCTGACCAGCCACACACTTCTTTTTGTGTTCTACATGAACTTATATGACCTGTTTATAACCAGGCTTCCCGTTTTCCAGACTAGTTTTAATCCTGATCTTCACCACAGTGAGGAATCAAAAGCACTGATCCCATCCTGGGGAGATAGAAAAATATATATTTTTTAACTAAGAACACCCTAAAGGGTGAAATAGCAAAGTGACTGACGTGGGGTGGGCATTTATCGTATTGTCATTTGTAGTGTTTAGATTTATCTTTGATGTGATAAATTCCAATCAATGATGTTTAAAAATCAAATATGTAAAAAAAAATTTTTTTTAATTAAAGTTGCATACTGCAGCTTTAAATGCAGTTACCGTGTGCAGCTTAGTGATACAAATCACCTTCTTTTGTTACTAGTGTCCTAAAGAAGCAGATTACAAATCTGAATGTTTTTCTAGAGCAGTATTTGTGTTCATGAGGCTGTGACTGCTATACCCCTAAAATAGAAGTCACAATGTTTCTTATTGTCACTTTTATTGTTATCAGAATAATACTAAGAAAAATACTGTGATGCAACCCCGACACCGATGTCGTTACTATGGACACAGACGCACACAAACAGAGCTGTTGCAGCATGACAACGCAATGTTCGTATGAGCAATAGTCACAATGCAGGATGTGCAACGTCAAAAAGCGTAAGCTGTTTATTTATACAAGCATCACCCACATTAAGCCCACTCCACAGGAAGTGAGCCGTCAGGATGCTCCCTTAATAAAACCGGATTCTTTTTTGTGTTTATTGCATTAGTAATATCTCTATAATGGTGACATCAGAGTTGAATTATTCATTTCTTTCTATTATTGATTCCATGCAGGTCAGTTGCTGAAAACATGTTTCTGTGCTACTGCCCAGGCTGCAGAGGAGGAAGGATTCTGTGTTACCAGGTTGTTGTCGTCCTGGAAGGCGTAGTGCAGGGTGGTGATCCACTGGCTGTCTCCGTTCACCAACACGTCCCGCTCCTCTCGAAAGCACGCCGTCTACACAAAGATTCAAAGACGATTTAAAATCTTCTACATTCCTGCAGACATTGGCAGTGTGCGTGTGTGTGTGTCTGTGTGTGTGAATCCTGTGTTGGTGACTTTCTGTAAACCGGAGGAATAAATCATGGCAAAACAATGTTTTTTCCATGCTACAGTAAAACGGTGAGGAAGCTTTGGTAGCTGACCTGATATCACGAATGACCTCAGAGTCGAAAAACCCGGTCTGTACCTTCCATTATTTTTGTTATGCCACTTATTTCTCTGTGTTTCAGAGAAAGAAACAGATGAGGACCAATTGAAGAATTTTTTTTTCTTTTCAAAGAAGGTCTTCATATTTGTATTGTGGTCGACACAAACATGCAGAATGAAGAAATAACCATCAAAAGAAATAGAAAAACACTTAAACTTCATCACCATATGTTCTAAATCTATATCACCTTCCTAAAATAATGGCTTGTTATTTTTTGTCAAAAGATGATTTAGGTAGAAAATTACAAAATCATTTTTGGCAACAAAAAAAAAAAAATCAATTAGGCTATTAAATTAGGAAGGTAGTGATGTGTACATCTAATATCTATAAAGAGGGACTGAAGCTTTTTGGCTCTGAATCATCTCTTAATAATTTTGGTTAAAGTGTAAAAGAACCTACTAATATTTTAACTATAGATATGATAATAAATGAAGAGTTTTAGCCGTTTCCTCCTGCAATATTTATGTTGAACTTCCACAGAGAATTAAACCTAAAGTATGACATACATGCTTTGTTCTGGGTTTTTTTTATTTATGTAGGAATACATTTTTTATTATTATTATTATTCTTGTGCATAATTTTCCACTGAAAAAACTAGATCCATCCTTTTTTTTGTTCAATTTTATATTTATTTTGAATCCAAAAAAAAATGCCCAGAAAAAAAAAAAAGGTGGTTCATAGAAATGTGTAAACTGTCTTTTAAAAGTGATGTAACAGTTGTGGCTCTAAATGAGTTTTATTTGCCTGAGGATAAAAACACCCCATCTCTTCAGGTTGTAGCAGTTGCAGATTTCTGCAGATCTCGTCTGTGGATCTGTCACTTTTTCTACCTCTGGGCGTTTAAGCGTATTTGCACGTACGTCTAAATACTGTGGAGTGTTGTTTTTTTGTTGTTTTTTTTTGCTTTGTGACATGTGAGCCGCTAGTTCAGAGACCCAGCAGGCCAACAGGAATGTGAGGATGGTGTCAGGAAGGAGATGATGAGAAAAACACGCATGGGCAGATCAGGCTGTGACATGTTCTGCAATCCATCAACAAATGTTTGATTCAAATGAAACTCCACAGAGGATGTGGGTTTTCCCGACAGGAGGCCCTTTCTTTCTTTTTCTTTTTTAAAACCTTCATCATTATTTTCCTTGAAGCATTTCCATGATTACTGCAGCAGACTGCTTCAGATAACCAGAACTAATAAAGTTGGTGCTAACCTCTGCTCGCTTGAGCATTTCCCACTTGTTGAGAATCTTCATAGCGAAGACCTTATCCGTGTTTCTCACTTTTACCACCGCGACCTGCAAAGAGAAGGAGAAATGTATTTTTAGTTGACGTAAGAAAAATATCAAACTGCATAAGCATTTTCTGTATGTATTGCATCTTATCCTGGGAGGAAATGGGAGTTGAAGCTGAACAACAACTGCAACAGTTTAAAGAAACAAACGCTCTCCTCATAAAGGGCATTAGTGTGTGAACTTAGCAAAAAAAAAAAAAAAAAGAGTCCTGCAGAGAATTATTTTAATAAGAGATAAATTCTGAGTTAATCATGTGGGGAAAGAAAGTACAGAAATTTGAGATAAGGATTCAAAATATAAATACATTTAACTTTGGGGTTTAAAGCCAGAAATGTGAAAAGGAAACCCTGGGGAAAACTGCAGACAAGAAAGAAGTTTTAACTTTCTTTAGAAGTAAATGATGGAGTTAGGAGGAAATCAACAAAATGTCACTAGAGTATGCGTTCTAGATCAATTCATAAAAATTACAGAGTGAAACATTAAGCTCAATTTCAGATTATATAATGAGTCGTTTTATTTTAATCTGCTGTCAGTTTAAAATCCTTCCAGATGTGTGACTTTCCTCTCTGCAGGCTCATAACTGGGATTCTCCACTATTTCAGCTTCTGCTCCAGATCTTCCAGCTCCATTTAATCACTTTTAATAGTTGCTTATCAAGTAATCACATGAAAAAAATATTTTAGAAATATCTATTTACAATTTTTGCCACTTCATCAATCTGATTGTTTTGAAGAACTTTATACTTACTAAAATTTAAGCTGATTTGTATGACTGTGATTTGCTGTTTTGTCTTTTGTCTGACCAAAAGACAAAACATTTTGGCATTTAACTGATGTATTGTTTTGTGCTCTGTTTTGTCATTTGTGTTGTCGTTCTTGTACAGCACTTTGGTGCAGTTCTGTCTTAAAGTGCTATATAAATAAATTTGACATTGACATTTGAAAAGTCTATAAGAGGAAGAATAAGTTAAAAAAATCTATTTACATACTTCAGACTTGAGACTGAAAGTGAAGTATATTATAAAAGGCAGTTTTATTTTTTATTTAATGTGAAACTTTTTTTTTATCCGTTTCTGCACTTTAAATTATTACTACTTAAATACCTCAAACTTGAGACCAAAGTAAATATAATATAAAAGTTCATTTTTACTATTGCCTCAAGCTGAAATTGAGGCATTCATCTTTTTTAATACTTCAAACTTGAGACAAAGTAATGTCTGAATCATTGAATCTGAACTTTTTTCCTTCTTTTTGTTTAACAAAAAGGAACAAAACTGTTTTATTTACTTGCATTTTCTCATATTTCTTTTTCTAGCTTAAGTAGCTTCTACAGAATGGTACAATTCTGTATTCAAGGTCTAAATTAATTGTCACAATAATAAATTACTCGATTATTAAAATAATCATTTACACCTGGGAAGACCCAGAATGAGCAGCAGTGAAGGTCGCCCAGGTTACCTCTCTGATTATGTGTGAGTGCGCTGGCTCCCCAGTGCCACAGAACTCTTTAAGAAAAGTTATTTCCTGCTTAAATAACAGCAACAAAAAAAAAAGTTATTGAATTGTTTCTCAGCCTCAGATAAGCAGAAGGACAAGGTTCGCATGGAGGGATGTTTTATCTCCAGACACTGATGTATAGGTTACTGCACGGTTCACCGTCTGTTTGCCTCTGAGCCGCACAGTGATCGATGAAAAAGAAACATTTGCACATTTCTGTACAACTTTCACAGTTTAAAGCCTTCTTTTAAAAGAATGGAAACAGTCCTCTGTCTGGCAGTTTGCTGCAGACTCAGGAATGACAGAGTCTGCAGCAAACCGCCTTCACTCTCTACACAAGCTGTTTGTAGAAGGAAACACTGTGGAAGAGGTCAGGTAATAGGTGCATGATCAACTTGTTGTGCCTCTAGTTGGACCAATCATGCTGCAATGTACGCTAATTGATTCTTATATCAGGAATGTAACAGGAACAAAAAAAACTGTTTTATTCTTATCCACAGCTTCTGTAAAAAATAAAACACCACAAGAACAGCCTTAAAGGAACAGCGTCCAAATGTACTACTTTTTTCATTCATCAGGTTACGATGAATGTTTATGATGATGTTCGATGTGTGCCGTTTTTCTTTAAACCACATTTGAACTTTTATGGACCACACAGTTTTTAGTCTTATAAACCTCATTACTTATAGCTGCTATCTACCCAAATGACGGGTTAAAAGCAATAAATATCTTGGTTGCTGAGCTCAAATGTCTAATTATTCAATAAATTAGCAGAAAAATTTTAAAATGTTGTTGATTTTGTCAGTATATAGTTTTAGATTGAAATGCTATTAATTGTGATTGATGAAGTACAGACCGTGCAATTAACCCTATTAAAAATTTTAATTTGAATCAAGTCCCACCGTTATTAGTAATATTAGAAACCTTTACATACAGTAGTTTTCTGTAAAACATGACAGGAGGCATTAAAACCATGCATCTTGAAATAATCTGAGGAAAGTTTAAATGGATTTTTAAAAAATTAATGCCATCAAATCCTTCTGAACCTTGGATTTTGCCCCTGTATGTACACATACCATGGAAATTGTGTAAAATTGATACTAAATGGAAGTAAACAAGTATATTGAACTTGGAGACTGATTTCCTGACCCAGACTCTGTACATACACATCATTTCATTCCCATCTCGTCCACTGAACCGGTGGTGATTGTCTTGAAAATAACAGAGAACATCCTGAAGCTCCCCAACGTTTCCTTTTATAGCTGCTATTTGTCACCAATGCCTAAAGATCACGCTGCCGTGACGACCCACCTCACCATCCCACATTAACAACTGCCAGCTTTCCCTGACTGCTAATTGCTAAACATAGCCTTGAAGAAGAAAAAAAAAACTTCCTCGGCTCCAGCTTTACAGTTTTGCCAAAAAAGGAGCTGCACAAGCAGCAGCGACAAACCGCTGTGAGCAGACAGCCAAAGCACGAGTTCACACAAACTCAAGTTATTCCCATTGCTTTCAACGGACACCGTTTATGTTTTTTTTTGTCTCCATTCTTTACAAAAACAAGATTTATTTGAGTCTGAATCGCTGACATAAAGAAGGACTTGAAGAGTTTTTTTGAAAATTTGAAACAGAAGTAGGAAGAAGGGAAGCAAACAAAGCGGCGCTATGAAACGGAGGGGTCTGCATCCTATTAAATTAACCAGGGGAATGCTGCTAATGCAATACAATGATAACATTCCTGCAGTGTTTGGATTTCCCCCCAGTGATCTCTCACTAGAGAGGAGGAATGAGGGAGGACAGAAGGAAAGGAGGGAGAGAAGTGATCTTGGCAGTGCCTCTGTTTTTGTTCTTTCCTTGACCCCTCTCTCTTTTTTTCCCCCTTCACCTCTACTGCTCTGATCTTCATCTCTGTTCAAAACAAAAATCAGATTCGATTCTAGGCTGCATTGCGCAAACATTTTTTTTTTCTTTTCTCTCAATATTGATAAAGCGATCTCACAGTCAGTGGGCCGGGACAAACCGCTCCATTCATCGGTGCAGATCCACTACGTCACACACCTGGCACCGTCTCTCTTCCTGCTGCTGATAATCGGAGGATGACATCAAACTGTCCTGAGCGCACACTCCCCTCCTCTGACTTTAAAAAAAGTTTTTTTTCTCACAGTTTGCCCTCATCTATCCCTCCCTGCATTAATTCTTCTTAAAATAAAATACACAAAAAAAAAAAAAAATAGACGACATCCAAAGACATTTTTCACTGATGAATAAAAACGCGGTTCCAAACTATGTGTGGTTTTTGTTGCCTAATGTGACACATGTCAAACTACTGCTGGACAGCAACAAATGAGTTTTACATAACATATGGAAATATCGGTTTCTATTTGCTTTAGTAAAATGGAGAAACTTGAGCCACTCTTACATTGTTTCCTATAGTCCCATGTATGCTGGCAGCGTGTTTAGCAGGTGTAATTATTAGGATATGGCAACTCTTTAGTTGTAGCATCAGAAAAGTACATGTGCTGCATTACTTTAGTTTTTCCCTCCATATCTAAGGAACGACTGTAGCTCCACCAGTCTCCCCCGAGTGGTCGGAAAAAATGTTCCCAAATTAATCAGAGAGAAGGTCTAAGCCAAGCTAATTTTACTGAACCAGATTTATTTTCCAATAAGTTGCAGTTACAATTCATCCACAAAGTAGAAATAATTAGCAGATGTGAGCAGGCTTCTGCTAATCTGCTAATAGCAGAGCAAATTTATCTATGAGCGCTTTAGCATTTTTGCTAGCTTTGAAAACAGTTAGCGCACTTAGTTCGCCTAAATTCATTTTTTGGGATGAATAATAAGGCGCCAACTTAGCTAGCTTTCAGTTCAATAAAGTTCAACATCTGTGTTAAAGCATTACATATCACCTGTTCTTCAAATAGTTAGACATTTATAGTCATTATCTCTGAAGTGGATGAAAACGTTTTACGCAGCAATTTCCTTTCCTTTCCTTTCCTCATGTTCTCCACCTGTGATGCGAGATATCTAGAATACATCAGTGAACAGTTTCAAACCTACTAATGTCCTGTGTGCTTTCTGTCTGAATCCCTACAGTGGTCAATTAGCCAACATCAGCCCCAGAGTTTGCAATACTCAACAATTATAAACCTAAAAAAATGAGTGAAAGGTTTATCACATCACTATGAAGTGTAACAAATATGACCCTGTTGAGGTCAATAAAACATGTTGTGTCAATGACACATGACGGGTATCAACATGGTTGAATAAATGCTTTAGCATTAGCTTCCACTCAATACCATGCACATTAGCATTAGCGGAACTGATGTTTATGATTATTGCTTTAAGGTTAGTGTAACCAACCATTTAGCTAGAGCTGTTCATTAAAACTCTAGAAGTGAGTCAGACTTGGCAAAAGACATGTCGGAGTTGGAAGAAAAAATAAAATGGGAAAAAAAAAAAAAACAACTTGAACATTAATCACATCATCTCTAATCAGTGCATCTCTACTGAAAACACCTGCGAAACAGTCTCCTCGCTCTCACAGACACAAACTAGAACTGGTTCCAAACAACTCTAGTAAAAGACCTGACACCTTGAAAATGTCCTGTTTTAGCAGCTAAGGACTCCAATACTTGTCCTTTCAGCATTCCTCTTCTTTGACGACATTACCTGAAACTCAATGACAAATACTTTTTTTTTTTTTCAAACTCCCTCACCTCCCCAGAGGCATGGACATATAAAATGGATTTTAAAATCCCTTAAATCACACTTCCTGCTTCCTAAGGTTGTCTAATTTAGAGTAAATTCAAAGATTAGGAGCAGAAAAAGGATTCTGGGAGCTCCGTTGGGGAAGCATGTAGAGTCATGCTCAGGTGGCAGACTAACGCTACACACTGCTGATGGAATGCAGCAGCAAGGAAATCACTGTCAAATGCAGAAACACCCCAGTCTTCTCCCATTTGAGCAAGTAGCAATAAAGGCTTAGGAGAATCTCTTCTAGACACCTGCTGACCTGGGAAATCATCAATGCCTCAAGTTAAAACCGAGGAAATTCCAAACATTTGCAGACTTTTCAAATGAAAAACAAACAAGTTTATCTCATTCAAGTCACGTCACGTCACGTCACGTCACGTCACGGTGGTGATCACCAGGTCTGAGATGAAGCATGAAGATTGTTTCGATTCCCCTAAATGTCTTTAAAATGGATTAATCAAGCACATAACATTTCCACTTTAGTATTGAGCGTTGGTCTGTTTTCAAAATCGGGGCGAAAAAAAAAATAACAAAATGGTCCGTTACCTCGCCGAACGCTCCTCTTCCAATAACCTTCAGGATCTCAAAGTCTTCCTTGTGCAGACGCATCTGCTTCACTTTGGAAGTGAAAGGTTTGGCTGGAGACACAAAGAAAGAAGAGAATCAAATTAGTTGATTGTTTTCATTAGAATGTAAAGCAGAAGACCGTTCTTTATCTGGTGAGACGTACAGGAATTAGAAGAAAGCTGCAGGAACAATATAACAAAATCAGAAAAATATTTAATGCGTAGTTATAATTTGTTCCCGTTGCATGGAGACAGCAAAATTTCCCATTATTTTAGTGGTAGCTGAGAGAATAATTGATTGCGTAAACAATCATTTAGTTGAAGGCTTAGTCTATAGAAGGAAGACCTGTAAAAACCTTAAATCTCTGAGATAAGCCCCAGAATATCACAACAAACTTAGCAGTTTCTCACCTAATCGCGAAATTATTTATTACAGCACAGGAAGGTTCAATTAAATAATCAATGAGTAAACCTCCTTTAGAAAAATCAGCTCAAAACACTTTTATTTACTATTCATCAACAGAGGTGATGATGTGTTAACAAGCGATCTGTTGGTGTAAATTATTACTATCAGTAAAGTCTGCAGTCCCCTGCATTGTGTGTGAATAAAACACGGGCAGCTTTGTAGCATTTAATCATTTCCACACTAGGCCCAAAATAACCGGCTCATGGAACAATATAAAGGACAAAACTCCCATATCTCAGGCTCCACGTCCTTCTAAATGGATTTTATCACAGAGTTGGTGACCACCTGGTTCTCTCTGCAGTAAATGACACCGGACACAGAGAGGCTGGATGATAACGTTTGCTATTGTTGTGCCCTCAGTTATGGTTCCTGATGGAAAAAAAGGGATTAGGGAGGGATCTGCGAGAGCTGCCAACGTTCTCTCGCAAATGTTCGACAGATTTGATCTATGTTGACAGAGTCAGCATTTCCCTCATTTGTGGAGAACTATTCAGGCCACTTCCTGGTTTACATGCTCCCAGCATGCCAAGGACAACCTGGATTGGCTGCAAGTTCGCAAGGTCAGCATCCTTGGTGAACTGATATCACGTTTTTTTTTAAGTCAATAATAACCCAACTACAAGATGTAGTGCTCGTTAGGTTTGCCAAACGTCTTGGGGTTAGTAAACAATGGCATCTCCATGGAAACATCCTCTTGGTGTTTCCAACTACTGTGTCGCAGTAAGAGGAGTTTCCCCAGTCAAGCTAACGCTCTGGCCCGTCTGTGATCCCACCGTGGCAAAACACTGTCTGGCTGCCTCAACTTCACACAACCTCCAGTGCTGAACAAGAGGATGTTCTCCCACTGTGAAACAGGGAAATGCCTGCTGAAATAAAACAAACAGGTCACTCATTGCTCAACAATCTCTCTCTCCCAATTCTTCCCTCAAAGCTGCAGCCGAGTCCGATGACAGCCGGGGGTCAGAGGGCAGAGGGAGAGTTGCTTCTAGCAGAGCAAAGAAATGCCAGCAACAATGCTGCCTTAGCAGGTAAGAAACACCTGACCAACGTTGGAACACTGTGTGGCAAGATTCTAAAGAACAACCATGGGAGCACAAAAAGGTACTTGTAGAGTCCCTACGTATCTTTCTTGTCAAATATCTGTACTTTTCCAGTATTTCCAAACTTTCCTGACCCTTTTAACCTCATTTTTAGACGATTCCAACCTGAACCCACACAAAACACGAAGGAAAGAAGGAAGACTGGATGGATCGAAGGAGGGACAGATGGACAGATAGACAAAAGCATAAATGGGTGGATGGATGAACAGATTAAAGCATTAACCCTCCAGCGGTCTACAGAGATTGGATCATTTGGGACCCACAAGTTTTTTTATTCTGTGTACAGTCCAGTAGGGTCACACTGTCCCCATGTGCGCTTTTACAAGGGTTTTTTGTGTGTGTGTAGTTTCAGGAACTGACGGTCTGATGGGACTGCCATGCTAAGGAAGAAAAGAATGAAGGACAGGATAGAGGGAGTATAGATGCATTTATGGATGGGTCGATGGACTGACAGATATCGTCATCTATAATGTAAGGAACATAAAATCCCAGAATACCACCAATACCACCAGTGGTTTAACAGTCCAATCAAATACTCTGATTGGACAAGTTTGCAATTTGATATCTTTCACGGAAACTGATTCTTCTGTAAACTACTATAATAACAGCAGCTTGGTCTGCAACACACACTGGCACTGATTAAACTGTTGACTTCAAGGATGTATAAACTATGTTACCAAGTATGTTTTTACCAGATCTCGTCACCATAAATTACGACAATAAATAGTTGGACATTTTCAAGTGAGACCCCAGGCCCCATCCTTTTACTAGTTTGGCTCTACGATCCTCCCCAACTCTTGGCAAGAGAGTCTTGAATGCTCTCTGGGATACGGAACACTTTCCATCTGTCTTTTTCTTGGCGATCACTAACTTGTCATTTCTATTTAGAGGGCTGCCTCTGTCAAACAAACTGGGTAAGCCCCCTCTGTACTCGCACAAAGACCCACTGGTACCATTCAGCCCAACATCAAGATCACACAATACCAGACACTGTTGGTATATTGAATTCTACAGCCATCATGGCAGAAACATATTCAGTTTATCTAAATTTAATCTAAAGTGCAAAATCAGTAAATTATTATGTCTTGATAAAGTATTCACATCGTTTGAAAGTTTACAAATTTTGTTACGATAAAACCAAAATGTGTTTTGGTTCTTGCATTATTAAGCCACTATTCTATAGCTTGTAAATGGTATTGAAATAACATCATCATTTATTGCAATAATTTCTGGGACAATTCATCATCGAGCAAAATTTGTGTCTCTCCAGCTCCTCCAGAGTTACTATGGTTCTCTGAGCCGCTTCTCTAAATGTTCTCCAAACACATTCTTTAGATGACTTCCAAAGGAAATTGGGTTTTATTTTGTTTAGGGGGAAATCAGAGAAAACTTTGTGTCCTGTTATTTCCCCTTTACAGCTATGTACTACTTTGTGTTGATCCGACACATAAAATCCCAATAAAAACTCCCATTAAAGTTTGTGGTCGTAACATGACAAAATGTGGAAAAGTTCATGGCGCATAAATGTTTTTTCAAGGCGGTGTAATTGTCAATTACACAAGCTGAACTGAGATGTAGGCCATAGAGAGGGGAAAGGAGAGTGGGGCTCCGAGAGGGAGGAATTAGTGGCTGCAGGCTGACTCAGGAGTTGCACTTAAAGCAGCCACACGAGAAATGTCTTTCTTCTCGGAGCCAGGAGCCCACAGGCCCCTTTCCACAACAAACTTCATGTGCAAACATAGACGTACACAAATATGTGCATGCAAAGTGAAGGGTCGTGGTGCTTACACCCGACGACTAACTGCTGACTATATACTCCTCAAAGTTTGCTTTTAACCGCTGGCATATGTGGAAATACTGAGCCAATATATCAATCAATTTAGTCATCTCATATAATACAGTCTGAAGCAACAACAGTCCAGATTTACTTTAGGATCAGTGTGTGCGCTTTGAAAGGACTCGCCGCATCCCTTTCAACAGCAGACGAAATGAAAAGTACAACAGCTTGGTCATACATCTTAGTTCATTAACAAAATATACACCTCACCTAAACACAGCAACCGTTGCCATGACACGGTGCAGCAGGAACCAATGGTAACACTCGGGAAGCCCGACTATCCCAACTTTAGCATGACTGGTATTCTTTGTTTTCCGGGTTTTGCAACGCACGGCCCAAGTGAGCCAAGACTGGAAAAAATGCTGGCATGTCATTCTGAAGGCATTGTGGGGGTGGGGTGGGGAATAAGGCATTGATCTGCGCACAAACTGGAAGGTTTACCACATGTCAGGTGCAACACGAGGGCAGGTGATCTCAGCGGTCGGTGTTCGGATGCAGTGGAACTGGAAAAACATGAGCGACGCCACCTGCTCCACACGGCCAGACTGGTTTGGCCCAGAAGTACTGGAGAGCGGCTTATCGAACCCATCTCACTCCATTACCGGCAATGGAGTCAAGAGACATTTAGTGTGAAATTGAGCAACAACGGGCGAGCGTGTTCACTCACCGGAACAGGCCTGGGCTTGGGTGTGTTCATGTGAAGTATGTGAACTCGTGTCTGTGCATTAGTCAAAGAGCTATTACGTCTAATACATAACCATAGCTGGTGTATGTGACTCAGTGCTGGGTGGAACAAGATTCTGTGTAAATAAAAAATAAGTCATAACCTTAAATAAACCTCTTGTTCTGCAGTAAGCGTTGCCACATGGCATGGTTTGAATGTGTGCAAAAATAAATTAAGAGTGCATGCTTGTGTAAAAGGGGCTATTTGTGTGGGATTAAGTAAAGACTGTTCAATGGACAGTGATGGAGTGAACAGAACAACCCAATGCTTCTTTATTTGATGGAGATTCTAAAAATGTCACAATGTGTACCAACTCTAGCCCAGAAAGCTTTTCAGTGTGGGGGAGGTTAGGTTTTGTAACTCATTTAGGTAGAAAAGGAGGAAATAACTAATTTTATTTAGCAATTTTGACATTTACTGCATGATAATGATAACATTTAAACTAATGTTAACGTTTTAGTTAATTTGGACTTAAAAGGAAAAGTTGACTTGCTAAAAGGGCTAAGATAATGTTACCCGATACATTTGTGTAATTCAACATGATAGCATTTAAGCTAACATTAACTTTGTAGCTAATTTGGACTCAAAAGCAATAATTGACCTACTAAATTGGTTAAGGTAATGCTACTCAACGTATGTCAACATGATGATAGGATTTAAATCTCAAAAAATAGCTTATTGAATGGATTAAATTAATATTAAGTTAATGTTGCTATCATGATAATGATTGACAAAAACATAACATTGATCAATATTTTAGTCAGCACATTATTTTCTTAATTTTTTTTCTTAAACCATTTGACCAATGTTACAAGTGTATGACATCAGTTTGAGTGTGTGTTCATGCTCACTACATCAGTCTTGTTCAGCTACAGGCATTGTGGGAAAAAGTATATGATTCACTGACAAAGGAGCCAGGTTGCAAATGTTATTTCAAGTTTTTTACAGCTCAAATTGGTTTG